TGTAGGAGAACTATAAATCCCAGCAACTACAACTCCCAAATGTCAAGATTCTATTTTCCCCAAACTCCACCAGTGTTCACATTTGGGCATATTGAGTATTCGTGTAGAGTTTGGTCCAGATCCATCATTGTTTGAGTCCACCATGATCGCTGGATGTAGGTGAACTACAACTCCAAAACTAAAGGACACTGCCCACCAAACCCTTCCAGTATTTTCAGTTGGTCATGGGAGAACTGTGTGCCAAGTTTGGTTCAATTCCATCATTGATGGGGTTCAGAATGCTCTTTGATTGTAGGTGAACTATAAATCCCAGCAACTACAACTCCCAAATGTCAAGATTCTATTTTCCCCCAAACTCCACCAGTGTTCACATTTGGGCATATTGAGTATTCGTGTAGAGTCCAGATCCATCATTGTTTGAGTCCACAGTGCTCTCTGGATGTAGGTGAACTACAACTCCAAAACCAAAGGACACTGCCCACCAAACCCTTCCAGTATTTTCTGTTGGTCATGGGAGAACTGTGTGCCAAGTTTGGTTCAATTCCATCATTGGTGGAGGTTCAGAATGCTCTTTGATTGTAGGTGAACTATAAATCCCAGCAACTACAACTCCCAAATGTCAAGATTCTATTTTCCCCAAACTCCACCAGTGTTTACATTTGGGCATATTGAGTATTTGTGTAGAGTCCAGATCCATCATTGTTTGAGTCCACAGTGTTCTCTGGATGTAGGTGAACTACAACTCCAAAACCAAAGGACACTGCCCACCAAACCCTTCCAGTATTTTCTGTTGGTCATGGGAGAATTGTGTGCCAAGTTTGGTTCAATTCCATCGTTGGTGGGGTTCAGAATGCTCTTTGATTGTAGGTGAACTATAAATCCCAGCAACTACAACTCCCAAATGACAAAATCAATTTTTTTGAGTGAAGGACATACATTGGTTGTTAGGTGTATTGTGTCCAAATTTGGTGTCAATTTCCAGTGGTTTTTGAGTTCTGATTAATCCCACAGAGAACGATTTGAATCCATTATTTCCATGATGACTAAGAAGTTTAGACATTAAATCTATATAAATAAAAATGTAATGTTCGTTTCTGGGATTAACATAACTCAAAAACCACTGGACAAATTGCCGCCAAATTTGGCCACAAGACACCTACTAACCCAAGGAGAGACCATCACTCAAAAAATTGATTTTGTCATTTGGGAGTTGTAGTTGCTGGGATTTATAGTTAACCTACAATCAAAGAGCATTCTGAACTCCACCAACGATGGAATTGAACCAAACTTGGCACACAGGACTCCCATGACCCAACAGAAAACACTTTGGTGGGCACTGACTTTGAGTTTGGGAGTTGTAGTTCACCTACATCCAGAGAGCACTGTGGACTCAAACAATGACGGATCTGGACCAAACTTGACACGAATATTCCACATGCCCAAATACGAACACAGATGGAATTTAGGGGAAATAGACTGACATTTGGGCATTGTAGTTACTGGGATTTATAGTTCACCTACAATCAAAGAGCATTCTGAACCTCTCCAACAACAGAATTGGGGGAAACTTCCCACACAGAACCCCCATGACCAACAGAAAATACTTAAGGCCATCCATTTTAACTGCCTTCACCAGGGCAAGAAAACATAGAGCCATCCAGCCATAGATGTAGATATGATTCGCACACAGAGAGATATAGTATCATAGATTTGAAAGGGACCCCTGAAGAAGGACAATGATATGTTGCATGTTCCAGAGTAGGCAAACCAGACACCCGCCACATCAACACTGACAAAGAAACGGCAAGAAATACTGTTTACCCACAAGCAGAAAGAAATTACAGATACTAGAAACCAACACTTTCTCATTACTTTATTTTCCAGATCACCAGACTGGGCCACAGCAACGCATGGCAGGGGACAGCTAGTTAAATATAGAATTGTTAAAACATGGTTAAACATGCCTAAAACCATTACAAACTCTTAGCGTAATTATGGTATAACACAGGCATGGGCAAACTTTGGCCCTCCAGGCATTTTGGACTCCAACTCCCACAATTCCTAACAGTTAGGATTTGTGGGTGTTAAAATCCAAAACGCTTGGAGGGCCAAAGTTTGCCCCTGCCTGGTATAACACAACATATCAGCAAAAGTTCTTTTCTCTTGTTTTTTACCACCTTCTGCTTAGTACCACATGGTGATATGATTCTTGTGTCAACTCCACTGTTGTGTTTGTTCCCTTGCGCAAAAGCGCAAGGTGAAACGCCCGCTCCACATCAGCAAACGAGTTATGTAACCGGACACAGTTTCCTAGTCACTGGTCTGTCCGATTAATCTTTGAGCAGAGAGTTCTGTTATTTTTTGCCAAACAGAAAATGCATTATGGAGTGTTTTCCTCTTCGTGCTTAGAGTTCTTGATTTATGTCTGATGACACTTGCCTTTGGAAATCTTGTGTAATACTAAAAACATTTGTTGCATCGCTACTGTTGTGTGTCCAGGTTGTTCCCAACTTGTGATGCCCCTAAGGAGATCCCATCACAGATGTGATAGGATCATCTGTCAGCAAGATTTGAAACGTTTTACTCATTTTACCTTATGGCTCATGGCAGGACACAACATGGTTAAAATACACCATCATAATAAAATACGATCCAGTAGTAATTGTATTTATTACCCGTCACTACTTATGGCTCGTCGCAGGGCACAACATGGTTAAAATGCATCATCTTTATAAAATACGTTTCATTAATAAAAACAATAATTTTAGTTATCAACTGTCTTTCCTTACAGTTCGAGACAGCGCACAAATAGTTAAAATGCATCATCATAATAAAATATGTTCCAATAATAACAACTTGGTTAAAATACACCAGCATAATAAAATACAATCCAATAATAATAATTTTATTTATTACCCCTCATTTCTTACAGCTCGAGGCAGGGCACATATGGTTAAAATGCATCATCGTAATAAAATGTGTTCCTTTAATCTATATAAATAAAAATGTAATGTTCATTTGTGGAATTAACATAACTCAATAACCACTGGGTGAATTGACACCAAATTTGGACGCAATACACCTATCAGGCCAACAAGTGACCATCACTCATAAAAACACTGAAAAATGCAGCAGAAGAGACTTAAAAAGCAAAAACAAAAACCACCATAACAAAAACTCATATATACACAAACACACACATATACGCAAACACACACAAAACACAAATCCACAGACTGGGCCACAGCAACGCTTGGCAGGGGATAGCTAGTAATAATAATAATTTATTGCCCATTTTTCCTTATGGCAGGGCACAACCTAGTTAAGGAACTTCATCATAATAAAATATATTCCAATAATAATGTTATTTATTACCTCTCTTTCGTTACAACTTGAGGCAAGGCACAGCATAGTTAAAATACATAATAAAGTATGTTCCATTAATAATAACAACAATAATTTTATGTATTACCTGTCTTTCCCTTACAGCTTGAGGCAAGGCACAACATAATTAACATATAGCATCATAATACAATATGCTCCATAAAAAAACACATAATACAGCATGTTTTTATAAAATACACATCCGAGAAGGATGGTAAAACATCAAAACATCCGGGCGTCCCCTGGGCAACGTCCTTGCAGACGGCCAAGTCTCTCACACCAGAAGCAACTTGCAGTTTTTCAAGTCGCTCCTGACACGACAAAAAAATAAAAAATAAAATACACGTATTAAAAGTCATGGAATGAGAAATAATACACAACAAAAATAGAATATCATTTTAAAATTCATAGTGAAAAACTGACAGAATATGCCTGCTGGAAAAGATAGGTCTTCAGTTGTGTACAGTCAGTCCCTGAGTTACAAACATCTGACTTTCAAATGGTTCCTAGTTAAGAATTGGGATGAGACAACAGGAAGTGAGAAATCTCTCCCTTGGAAGAGAAATTCACTCCTGAAAGAGTTGCTGTTATCGTGGGGGGAAAGGGGGTCTCCACTTAAGCTTTATCTCCAATCCTTGTTTCCACAACAAGCCATTTTTTTTTTCAAAATCCAATTCTCACAGGGACAAAAATAATACTTAAGAAAGAACTATTAGAAGAGATAAAAAATTATTTCAAGAAAATAGGGGCTCAGCAAGTACAGAAACAATCTGGGATGCAGCAAAAGCGGTTATTAGGGGTTATTGCATAGCAAAAGAAGTGGCAGTAAAGAAACAGCAAGATAAAGAAAGGAAAAGAATGGTTAGAGAAATAGAGGAAACACGAAAACTATTACAAAGTAAATACCAAGTGCAGGTGAAAGTAAAGTTGGAAAAAATAAAGAAATGGATAACTGGATAATTTGGACTTATGGAGAAAAGAGATATTTGTTAAATAATAATAATAATTTTCAAAGACAAAATACAAAATTCTCTATGCAACCCAAAGCTATCATATCCTTCCCTATGCAATCCAAAGTCTGCATGCGGGCACAGATGTGTGTGTGTGTAATTACACTTAAAAATGTACCTGTTCTGACTTCCAGAATAATAAGAGCAAACCTGCAAAACCCATCTTGTCCATAACTTGGGGACTATTTGTGTTATGAATTGCAAGGCTGAAATGGTCTTACAGGAAGTCTGTGTTAAGTTGACAGCTATTAATAGGAGGGAGGAGTTACGTAATGGGGATCCTAACTGATACCAGAGATTAACATAGATATCAAACTTGATGAGATTATCCAAAATGACCCCAGATGGGCATGCATGTCAATCTAACAGGTAACTATTGTTTCATCTCAAGTACAAATAAAGTCTTCGAAACTTTCATTGTTAAATCTAGACATAATTGGGAAGATGGGAGTGAGAGCTCTGTGCACAATTCCTTTTTTTGAGTCTAGTTACGTTGAAGATGAAGTTTCAAATCATGCATGTATTTGCAAAGAACGAAAACATGAATCTTCTGCGCGAGTCAACAGAGACTGGGTTTTGACCACTGTTTCCTGTTTTCTTTTAAAGCCTGAAGACACTCAGAGGTTGATTTATTCTGGGAAGCTTTTGCATGACCACCTGTGCTTGCAAGAAGTGCTCAGTAAGGTATGTCCTGTTTGGTTCTAGCATTACTTTTGGTAGCTGTAGAGAGACATCAAGTAAATGTAAGCAACTGAAACCTTTCTTGAAACCTTACTTGGTTTCATTTTTCAGCAGGAGATGGTACATGTTCTCCACCTGGTGTGCAACGTGAAGAATCAGCCAAAGCTGCAAGAGGCCGACACAAAGGTATTAAGAAACAGTCAATTACATTTCTAGCGTATCAGAAAACCTGTAGTGATTGGAGGATTGTCTACTGATAATTACTGTATATACTTGAGTAAAATCTGACCTGCATATAAGCTGAGGCACATAATTTTACCACAAAAAACAAAACAAAAACAAAACAAAAACCTGGGAAAACATATTAATTCGAGTATAAGCTGAAGGGGGAAATACAGCAGCTACTGGTAAAATTCAAAACAAAATAGATACCAATAAAATTACATTAATTGAGGCATCAGCAGGTTAAATGTTTTTGAATCTTTAAATAAAACTAATTTAAGATAAGACTCTCCAACTCTGATTAAACCATTATTCTAACCTTCAATGTAAATGTGGTTATGTATCCTTCCAATAATAGAGTAAAATAATAAATGGAATAAAAATAATAATAACAGAATAAAATAATGGAAATGGAAGAATAGAGTAAAATAATGGAACTGTAATAGTAACAATAATAAATAGAGTGAAATAATAGTAAGTAAGGAAACTTTATTATGGTCGATGACCATATCATAATGTAATAAAATACTAGAGTAAAATAATGTAAATGTAATAATACCAATAATAATAGAGTAAAATAATAAATGTATTAAAATAACTAGTCGTCCCCTGCCACGCGTTGCTGCAGCCCAGTCTGTGTATATGTGTTTTGTGTGTGTATATATTTGTGTGTATATGTGTGCAGGTTTTGGCTTTTTAAGTCTTCTGCTGTGTTTTTCAGTGTTTTTATGTGTGATGGTCACTTGTTGCGTGTATATATATATGTGTGTGTGTGTTTATGTATGTGTTTACATATGTACATGCATATTGTGTATATGTGTGTGCTTGTCTATACGCCTCTTTGTGTGTATATATGTATGTATGTGGACATGTATGTGTGTGTGCATGTGTATATGTATATATGTATGTGCATATATATGTGTGTGTATATATGTATATATGTGTGTATGTATAAGTATGTATGTATAGTGGTGCATATATATATACATGTGTGTATTAATGTGTGCATGTGCATATGTATGAGTGTATATGGTGTATTTTTTGGGTTTTAAGTCTGTTCCACTGGGGTTGTGTTTGTGTACGTGTGTGTTTCTGGGTGATGGACACACCTTGGCCTGATAGGTGTCTTGTGTCCAAATTTGGTGTCAATTCGTCCTGTGGTTTTTGAGTTACGTTAATCCCACAAATGAACATTACATTTTTATTTATATAATAGAGCAAATTAATGTAAATGTAATAATAGAGTAAGATAATAAATGTAATAAAATAATACTAATAATAGAATAGAGCCCCCGGTGGCGCAGTGGGTTAAAGCACTGAGCTGCTGAGCTTGTTGATCGAAAGATCGCAGGTTCGATTCCGGGGAGTGGCGTAAGCTTCCGCTGTTAGCCCTAGCTTCTGCCAACCTAGCAGTTCGAAAACATGCAAATGTGAGTATATCAATAGGTACCGCTCCGGCGGGAAGGTAACAGCGCTCCATGCAGTCATGCTGGCCACATGAACTTGGAGATGTCTACGGACAACACTGGCTCTTCGGCTTAGAAATGGAGATGAGCACCACACCCCAGAGTCAGACATGACTGGACTTAATGTCAGGGGACTACCTTTACCTTTACCTAATAATAGAATAAAATAAAATAATAAATAACCTTGACTTGAGTATAAGACAAGGTGGGGGCTTTTTCAGCTTTCAAAGGGAGCTGAAAAACTAGGCTTATACTTGAGAATATACAGTACTTTGGAAAATGTTCGTGCAGCCTTGTAAGAGCAACATAATTGTTTTAGATGCAAATGCCAGATTTTTCTTTTTTGGCACATGCCTCTAGTTGGATCCTGGGAAACTTATTAGCCACATTATGCGCTTTTAAGAGCCACAAAATTAACAAGGAGTGATTGGGTAGTTGGTGACCAAAGGGAATAATCTTTTTGTTGTGTTTGTGGGGCCTCTGTTGCAGTGATATTGGAAGTTGGGACTATGAACAACAAGCCTAAATTTGTTGCAATTACTAAACCCAGGAACTCTCAGATCTCTCTTTTGGGGGTTTGTCATTGCTTTCAGTGGCGAAACAGACTGTGTACCGAAACTTTCTTTGCATCGCATAGGAAGTGTTTCATCTCACACTCCATATCGTTTTTAACTATGGAATACCTTCATGAAATCATGTTTGTAAATCTCTAGTTTTTTGTGTTTATTCAGAATGCCGATGCCAAGCGCCAGCCAGTTCCATCTAGCCCTGTACACCCTGCATGGAGTCAGAGCGGAAATATTTGCAACCAGCCTCATCCAGCAGGAAATACTGGTGATCGGTATGTATATATTGTGAAAGCTGAGTGACTTGGTTATTCCTTGTGTTACCCCTTAAATAGTGGTTCTTAATCTTCCTAATGCTGTGACCCCCTTAATACAGTTCCTCATGTTGTGGTGACCCCCAACCATAAAATTATTTTCATTGTTACTTCATAACTGTAATTTTGCTACTGTTATGAATCGTAATGTAACTGATCTGCAGGATGTATTTTCAATCACTGGACCAAATTTGGCCCAAATGCCCAATAGGCCCAAATTTGAATACTGGTGGGGTTTGGGGGGGGATTGGTTTTGTCATTTGAGAGTTGTAGTTGCTGGGATTTATAATTCATCTACTATCAAAGAACATTCTGAACTCCACCAATGATGGAACTGAACCAAACTTAAGACACAGAACTCCCATGATCAACAGAAAATACTAGAAGGGTTTGGTGGGCATTGACGTTGAGTTTGGGAGTAGTTGTAGTTCACCAAACTTGGAACGAATACTCAATATGCCCAAATGTGAACACTGGTGGGGTTTGGGGAAAATAGACCTTGACATTTGGGAGTTGTATTCGCAGGGATTTATAGTTCACCTACAAGCAAAGAGCATTCTGAATCCCATCAACAATAGAATTGGACCTAACTTTCCACAAAGAACCCATATGACTAATAGAAAATACTGTGTCTTCTGATAGTCTTTGGTGACCCCTCTAACACCCTTTTGCGACCCCCCCAGGGGTCCCGACCCCCAGGTTGAGAAAAACTGCCTTAAATGCTTGCACTTGCATGTGTTTACATTTGGAATGGTACTTTGCTGGCACTCACAAATCCTCTTGCCAGAAACCGAAGTCCCTGGCGGGATGTGCTAAATCCTCCATTAGGCTTCCCTTTCACTCCAGTTTGGATGAAACGAAGAAACAGCAGCGAAAATGAGGGGAAATCTTCCTTCTCCTTTAAATCGTTGTTAAAAGAAAGCTCAAGAAAAAAGGACAGGGAAAAATGGGTAGATTAGATGAAAAACAGGAGAGATGTCTACAGTTTTATCTTTTCCTTAATGTAGAAAAAGTACATTCCTGGCCTTGGGAGGTTAGATGAGACCTCAGTATTTGACATCAGGCTATTTTCTCCAAGTTAAAGTTTAACTAAGCTTAATTTTGCCTTCTAGTACTTGAGTGTAAGAATGCCCAAGAATGTGTAGATTTATTTATTTATTTACAGTATTTATATTCCTCCCTTCTCACCCCGTAGGAGACTCAGGGCGGATTACAATGTGCATATACATGGCAAACATTCAATGCCATAGAGACACAACATATATACACAGACACAGAGGCTATTTAACTTTCCGGCTTTCATGAGGGTATTCCAGCCACCAGGGGAGCTGTCGCTTCACCGTCCATTTCAGACACTGATGGAGTACTTCCTCATTCTTTTGCACGCTGCTGGAGAGTTTTACAGTGTCATAAATTTGTTAAATTTGTTTACTTTTAACGTTTTAACTATTACATCTGGCCCAGCCATAGGTTTTTAAATTCTTCTGTGTTATTGTCTATGTCCGAGTTATGCTAATTGTATTGTTTATTTTGCTTATTACTTGTTTTTATTATTGCTTGTTGTTTTATCGATGTGTTGTTGGGCTTGGCCTCATGTAAGCCGTTCCGAGTCCCTTGGGGAGATGCTGGTGGGTTATAAATAAAGATTGTTATTATTGTTATTATTATTATTTATTAAATTAGCCTCCCCGCATAAGTGGTACCTAAATGTCCTACTTGACAGATGCAACTGTCTTTCGGGCTGCAAAGGTTGACAAAAAGCTACACAAATTGGTTGGACACTCACTCCAACCCGGGCTGGCTTCAAACTCATGACCTTTTGGTCAGTAGTGATCTTAATGCAGCTGACTCTTAGCCAGCTGTGCCACAGTCCCGGTGCCGGCATGGAATCCCCTCCAAAAGCATGGAATCCCCTCCAAAAGCAAACCAGAGTGAGGATAAAGGCGTTGACTTTCCCTTTTATACGCCTTCAAATGCAGGCAAACAAAGAAACATGTTTCTACATACGTTACATAATCACTATGCTACCTTAGCATCACAGAAAAATCAAATTATATTTTTCTTCATGCAGGAGGCATGTCTCAGCATTCAGCTTACAGTAGTGATCTTAGTGCAGCTGACTCCCAGCCAGTTGCGCCACAGTCCCGGTGCTAGATATCTACGAAATTCTTGCCCTAAAGCCTAAGCACAGAAACTTCCACGCAGTGCATCTGAAATTAGCTGGGAATGGGGGAGAATACTAGCAGACCTGTTCTGATCATGTCTTTGTGTGTTTGCTTTTGTACTAGATCTCCACCAACTCAGATTCCATTTCAAGGCATGAACCCTGGCTACCCTTATGCAACATACCGAATGCTGCAGTTCTGGTTCCATCAGATTTATGCCAGACAATATTATATGCAATAGTAAGTTGTTTTTTGCCTTGTTTTATTGAGAGTCCAGTGTCTGAGGTGATAGGCACTGTCCTCAATGAGAATTGCCATTTGGCATTGAGTGTTCACCTTCTCAAATATCTCAATGGCTACATGAATGTTTGAGCACTCTCTGAAGCAAATTTAGTCTTTAAAATGTACAGGTGGTTGATTATTTGGTTATGTATAGATAGGTTATGTTGATTTTCCTGGAAATGGGGACTCAAGGCTGTAACGGACTACCAGCCAGGTTAATCTTTTTAGCCAATGAAATTTAAAAGACCTTGTTGGGCAAGTGGGCTTATTAATAAAAGACCCTCCTCATAAATGTACAGCAGAGTAACTTATGAGCAGCAGCGTGACCCAGCACCGGTAGCCCACAGTGATAAAAAGAAAAAAAAACACACATACTAATGTTATCTCTTCTTTAGGAGGCTCTTCTTTTGTAAACAGTGCAACAATATGGTTGCACTGTTTACAAAAACAAGGCTTCCATAACACGAACAAAGTTCTTTATACTTCCTTCTTTGCTTCTATGCTGGGCTTCTTTCTCATGCAAATAAACAGCTTCATTCTCACAGAGCTTCCTCTCACACTGAAGTTACACAAGAGCTTCACACAGTAGCTTTTCACACAACAGCCTTCACACTGGAGCTTCCTCACCAAAGCTTCTCACACCAAGCCTTCTCATACTGAGGCCTTTCTCACACTGAGGGCTCTCTCAGACTTGATGCCTCTCTCACACTGAGGCAAACTAACAGGCCTTTTCATACTGAGGTCTGCTTACACTGAGGGCTCCCTCAGACTTGACACCTCTCTCACACTGAGGTGAACTAACTGAGGCCTTCTCATACTGGGGCCTTTTCACACTGAGGGCTCTCTCAGACTTGACGCCTCTCTCACACTGAGGTGAACTAACAGGCCTCTCTCACTGAGGTCTGCTAACACTGAAGGCTCTCTCTGACTTGACGCCTCTCTCACATTGAGGTGAACTAACTAGGGCCTTTTCACACTGAGGGCTCTCTCAGACTTGATGCCTCTCTCACACTGTGGTGAACTAACTGAGGCCTTCTCTTACTGAGGCCTCTCTCACTGAGGTCTGCTTACACTGAGGGCTCCCTCAGACTTGACACCTCTCTCACACTGAGGTGAACTAACAGGCCTTCTCATACTGGGGCCTTTTCACACTGAGGGCTCTCTCAGACTTGACGCCTCTTTCACACTGAGGCGAACTAACTGAGGCCTCTCTCACTGAGGTCTGCTAACACTGAGGGCTCCCTCAGACTACCATCTACTAAGCTACAGGCACACCTAATTATATAGAACTATGGGTTTTGCTGAGTCATTGTATCAATTTAGCCCTTTCAGTGCTTGACTCACATTTTTGTAATTAAAAATACCTAGGTTTTAATATTTCTGACAGACTTGGCCTCCCATTTTTGTCAGTAGAATGAAGACACCTGTATTGGTAACATGTACATCCAGCTGCATTGTGTTTATTTGAAACTGTGGTTATGCCCAAACAGCATTAAATTATCTGACTTCTGCTCCTGGCATTCCTTTTCCCTGGAAAAGTATTCACGTTCCTTCTTACTTTCCATTCAGCATGGCTGCCACTGCTGCCTCCAACGACGCCTCCTCCACTCGAACCACGCAAGAGATTCCAGTTGCCCCGGTGGCAGCGCCTGCTCCCCTTCCTGACCCGTTTCCTGTTGAAAACCAGCCCGTGAATCCAAACGCCCCTGCTCCGGCGAACCTGGGCGTCAATCCGAATCTCCGCGTGAATGCCCAGGGCGGGGCCTTGATGGAGGAAGAGGAGGAGGCCCATCGGGACTGGCTGGACTGGCTTTATTCAGCCACCCTCTTCTACGTTTTCGTCAATATTGTGTATTTCTACTCCAGCATGAGCCGACTCGTCATGGTGCTGGTGGGCACCCTTCTGATGTATCTGTAAGTATCTGGACAGAACGGCTTGTTTTTCTTTTGAGCGTTGTGTGTGTGTGGGATGTGTTGACTCACAAGTTACAGCTCCATAGCACGCTTTTCCGTTTCTAAAAATAATACTGCAAGTTCACATGATCTGAATTTTGATATTTAGAGGACGGACTAGCAGTCAGCTTATCTAGGAAGGCCAGATGTGTCTTCTGGCAGAGAGAGAAAGGGAAAGTAATATTTATTTGGTTTATGTGCAGGATATTTGTGTTTTGAGCAATGGAAATGTGCCCATCCCAATATAGTTTCTTGCAATAATTTAAGTTTGACTTGTGTGTTTTTGGTGAAGTTACAGTGACCACAGTTCTGAAATAAATGGGTGGTCTCAGTGTTTATTGTTTATTTATTTATTTGCCCTGTTTATAACCCACCTTTCTCTAAGGGGGGCTCACAGATTGAGAACCACTGCTTAGATCAGTGTTTCTCAACCTTCCTAATGCCGCATCCCCTTAATACAGTTCCTCCTGTTATGATGACCCCCAACCATAAAAATATTTTTGTTACTACTTTCATAACTGTAATTTTGCTACTGTTATGAATCGTAATGTAAATATCTGATATGCAGAATGTATTTCCATTCACTGGACGAAATACCCAATATGTTCAAATTTGAATACTGGTGGGGTTGGGGGGATTGATTTTGTCGTTTGGGAGTTGTAGTTGCTGGGATTTATAGTTCACCTACAACCAAAGAGCATTCTGAACTCCACCAGTGATGGAATTGAGCCAAACCTGGCACACAGAACTCCTTGGGTTTGGGAGTTGTATTGTTTTATTGTGTTATGTTGTTTTACTGTTAATTGCTTTAATGTTTTTGATTTGCTTTGTATTGTATTGTTATGCTATTGTTTTGTTGAGGCCTTGGCCTTTGTAAGCCGCATCGAGTCCTTCGGGAGATGCTAGCAGGGTACAAATAAAGTTAATAATAATAATAATAATAGTTGTAGCTCACCTACATCCAGAGAGCACTGGATTCTAGCAAGGACGGATCTGGACAAAACTTGGCATGAATACTCAATATGCCCAAATGTGAACACTGGTGGAGTTTGGGGGAAAGAGACATTGGCATTTGGGAGTTTTAGCTGCTGGGATTTATAGTTCACCTAAAATCAAAGAACATTCTGAATCCCACCAGTGAAAGAATTGGGCCAAACTTCCCACACAGAACCCCCACGTCCAACAGAAAACACTGTGTTTCTCTGATGGTCTTTGGTGACCCCTTTGACACCCTCTCTGACCCCCCCCCCCCCTCCAGGGATCCCGACCCCCAGGTTGAGAAACACTGGCTTAGATAATATTCTTCATTTTTGCCAGGGTTTGCAGTGTTCCTGTCTGTGTTTCATGGAGTAATTAGTACGTTTTTTACAGTCTGTATGGAAACTCTGGCACCCTCCAATTCCTTTAATGAAGTGGTTCCCAACCTGTGATCCGTAGACCACCAGTGGTCCCTAAGAACGAAAATATGGTCCACAGCCTGGATGGCATATGTTCTGTATCGGAAACTAGAGCTGATGTAGTCTATCCAATGCAGTTTTCTGAATCAGCACCCCAAATAACCAAACTGAATCTAAAGTTGACCAAAAACCCATTTGTAACCCTTTTCATACTAATATTGTAGAATATTTCTTGGTCAAAGTGGTCCCTGGTCAAAAAAAAGAAAAGATTGGAAATATCTGCTTTAATGTTTAGGCAGAGGTTCTTCATGCCAAAGCCACTCAGAGCAATAGGCCTTTTGAATTTTCAGTTTTATCTCTGTTTATGTTCATTGTATAATTGCCTAGAATGTATTCTTAAAGCTTTCGGGGGGAAAAGCTAATCAATAATGGCTTACCTTCCTAGGCACCATGTGGGCTGGTTTCCATTCAGGCGAGGGCCAGTTCAACCTGCTCAGAACAACGTTCCTCCCCAAGCAGCCGTTAACCAAGACCAAAACAATAATTTGCAGGTAAGTTGTGCTTTCAGTCATAATAAGCTTCCAAATCCAACATATTTTTACCTGAATCAAGCATTTTATGAGACTTCCCTTTGAGATGGTTAATGGAGCTTCATCTTTTCGTTCTTCATTTAGATATTTCTAAGCATACCCAGTTCAGTCACTAGGAACAACTGGGAAAAATTCAACTTTAGCATGAAGACAGTAATTTGTATATGACAGCAAATATGTTCAGTTTAAGTAGTAAAAGTTGTCCCCTGACATTAAATCCAGTCATGTGCCTGACTCTGGGGTGTGGTGCTCATCTCCATTTCTAAGCCGAAGAGCCAGCGTTGTCCGTAGACACCTCCAAGGTCATGTGGCCGGCATGACTGCATGGAGCGCCGTTACCTTCCCACCGGAGTGGTACCTATTGATCTACTCACATTTGCATGTTTTCGAACTGCTAGGTTGGCAGAAGCTAGGGCTGACAGCAGGCCCGTAGCCAGGATTTTGATTCGGGGGTGGGGGCTGAGTCTGAGTGAAAGAGGGTCTACCCTAGCAAACCTTTTGTATCGTTACCCCAATACGCCCGTGCATATGGGATATATTGAGTATGGTGATCAGATCATGATATGGATAAACATAACAGTTTAAATAATGCACCAGTAAGGCCTTTTCGCGAACCACCATGAGAATTTTCGGGGGGGGGGGGGGGGTTCCAGAATGCTCTTTGATTGTAGGTGAACTATAAATCCCAGTAACTACAACTCTCAAATGTCAAGATTCTATTTCCCCCAAACTCCATCTGTGTTCATATTTGGGCATATTGGTCCAAGTTTGGTCCAGATCCATAATTGTTTGAGTCCACAGTGCTCTCTGGATGTAGGTGAACTTCAACTCCCAAACTCAAGGTCAATGCCCACCAAACCCTTCCAGTATTCTTCTGATCATAGGAGTCCTGTGTGCCATGTTTGGTTCAATTCCATCATTGGTGGAGTTCATCATCATCTTTAATTACTTATTAATTGCCCTCCATCCGAGATGCTCCAGGCGATTTACATTGCAGAAATTATACAGGATAAAACACATACATACAAATATTAAAATTAACATGGGTCAAATGCTCTAGTAAAAAGCCAGGTCTTAAGTGCTAGGATAAAATGCCCTAAGTCACGCATGGCTCTCAAATAGGGAGTTCAGAGTGCTCTTTGATTGTAGGTGTACTATAAATCCCAGCAACTACAACTCCCAAATGACAAAATCAGTTTTTTTGAGTGGAGAACATACATTGGGATGTTAGGTGTCTTGTGTCCAAATTTGGTGTCAATTCGTCCAGTGGTTTTTGAGTTCTCTTAATCCCACAAACGAACATTACATTTTTATTTATATAGATTACATTATTAGTAAAGAAGAGCAGACAAGATGGAACTGTCTTCTGCCCTCTTCTCTATATATAGTGAAGTATATAAATAAATACTAGCTGTACCCGCCACGCGTTGCTGTGGCCAACCTTCCCCCTATCTCCCCTTCTTTCCCTCCTTCCTTCACTCCCTGTTTCCTTCCTTCCTTCCCGTCTTTCCTTCTCTCCTTCCTTCCTTCTCTATCGCTTTCCTTCCTTCCCCCTTTTTCTTTCTCTTCTGCTGTCTCTCTTTTCTTCCTTCTCTCTTTCTTCCTTTCTTTCCCTCCCTCTTTCTCTACATCTTATCCCCTTCCTTCGCTCCCTCTTTCCTTCCTTCTTCCTTTTTCTCTTCTGCAGTCTCTCTTTTCTTCCTTCTCTCTTTCCATCTTTCCTTCCCTCCCTCTGTCTCTACATCTTCCCCCCTTCCTTCGCTCCTTCTTTCCTTCCTTCTTTCCCTTTTTTCTTTCCTTCTCTTCTTCCTTCTCTAACTTTCCTTCCTCCCCCCTTTTTCTTTCTCTCCTTTCTTTCTTTTCTACCTCATTCCTTCCTTCTTTCTTTCCCTCCCTCTTTCTCTCCTTTCTTCCTTGACAGATTAGAAGGGGGCGTGGCTTGGAGGTAACGTGAGGGGTAAGAGGGAGGAGGGGAGGGGGGATGGGTTTAGAAGGGGGCGTGGCTTGGAGGTAACGTGAGGAGGGGGGAGGGGAGGGGGGATGGGGGCGCGCGCGCGCGTGTGTGTGTGTGTGTGCCGCGCCGGGGGGTGAGGGGGCGCGCGCGTGCGTGTGTGTGTGTGCGCTCCGCGGGGGGAGGGTGAGGGGCCATATGTGCGCGCGCGTCGGGGAGTTTGCGCCAGTGCGCATGCTCAGTTGCTTTCCCGTTTTTTGTGGTTGTTGTTGTGTGGTTTTGATTTCTGAGTGGATTAGTTTGTACCTAGTGGGTTGTCCTTGGGGCATGGCAATTTTGGTAGAGTTTTGTGGAGGGGTTTTAGAGTTTTGCTTCCCCGTTGGACGCCAGTAGGAAATTTATATATATAGATAAGTAGATAAGACCTGCAAGTAGATAAGTATAAATAGTGAAGGCTTGGAAAGTTGCTATTTCCAACAATATATGCATCTCCTAAAGTAAGTTTTCTAGACCATTGATCGTCTTGGTCACTCTTCTCTGGACATGTTCCCGCTTGCCAATCTCCCGCTTTGACTGTGGTCCCCAGAACTGGACACAACTTAAGCCTTGCTTTTTATTTTTTTCTGGAATAGCAGCAGGGAGAAAATGTGGGCGAACCGGAGGAAGCCGACGCGGTGGACGTTGTTCCCGAGACCCATCCAGCCGCCCCTTCCTTTGCGAGCACCGCCTGGCTCTTCATCCGGACCTTCTTTGTCTCGCTTTTGCCGGAGGGCCCTCCTGCAGTGGAAAACTGACTGGTCTCTTACTTACGAATCAAATGACCGCACTTTGATACTGGACCTAAGCTGGGAGGCCAAAACTGCCCGGTGATGAGGCCAAAAGGATACCGTAGAGGAACACGACACAAGGCAAAACAGGCTGGATCCCCGATTCCGTGAATTCCATGGATCTTCGACAATGTATAGTGCCAGTAAAGCCACAAGTGGACCAAAGGCAGAGAAGCTGAACGCTTCTGCCAGCGTGACTTTATTCCTTTTGGAATATTTCCTCATATACTTTAAATACACTGAGTGTATTATTTGATGCAGCCAGTGAATTTAGACATGTATGATCAGGATTTTACAGGGAGAATGTATGCCAAAGACAAAGCGACTACAATATTTCATCTCATGCGAAGTAAACAGTGGATGAGAATAGCTTCCAACAGAAGAAGAAACCATTCCTGAACAGAATGTGTCTACAGGTTGAGAACAAGTCACCAGTTGAGTCCAGATATCTTGAGGAGCAGGTCTGTAAATGCTGAGCAATCCCTGGTATTTCTGTAAGAAGGATTCAGTGGATTATAGTCAAAATATTAATATTTGCAGGTCCTCGTTGTGCCACAAACGGAAGGGGCTTCTGTGTTCTGAAGAGTTGGAGAAAATTGCTTTTTCTCTCTCACGCCATAGCCTTAAAGCTCCATCTATATGTTGAAGAAGTCTTCCAGTCCTACCTCTGCAAAATAATGCTTTGGGTTGGATGCATAGGTGCAAATAGGAAGAAACCTCCTTCAATTCTTTGGGAGGCAACAGAATTATTTCCCCAGTGGATTATAATATTATTTTTTTTAAAGCATGGAGCTCTATAAGGGAAGAGAAAGAACGTGGGCTTACTTTCACGCGCATTTTAAAGCTTGTGGCTTTTATAAGTACGATACGATGATTTAGTGCCTTTGGAATCATCTTTAAAGTAGCTAAGATATTTTCCTTTGCTCCTTGATCTTTTTGGAGGCGGTTAAAATGCTTATTTTTCTTCTGCCTATGCCTCCTTCCAAAGCACCATGAGTTTGCAATGTGAATCTTTGCTGCTCAGGGATAATAATTTCCTTAGACTACCTGCATGTAGGGACAGTTTCTTGTGTATATAATCTACTCCCCCCTAAAAAAAAAGATGCTAAAATTGTATTTTCACCATTTTAGATCATGGAAGACTGAACCTCCCATTCATATCTAATATATATTGTAAACTGTATTTGTACAGAGAACTATCTGCCAGACTTTTTCTTGTATATTGTCAAAAAAAAGTTTAATATATGATGGCTTAATTTTATTAAAAGTCATATACTGCTAACAGAGTCTTTTCTTAGTATTTATTTATTTATTGTGTCAGGAGCAGACCAAACGGTTGTACTGCATTTTTAACAAACAAATCACAAAGTTTACAAGCTTGGTTGTTGTGTTTTTTGTGGTCATGAGGGTTCTGTGTGCCAAGTTAGTTCCAGTCCGTCGTTGGTGGAGTTCAGAGTGCTCTTAGATTGCAGGTGAACTTACAACTATAAATCATAGTCAATTCCTCCCCAACCTCAAGTATTTTTCATTGGTCTTGAGGTCTGACTTGGCCACGGTGGTCCACGCTTTGGTTACATCCCGTTTAGATTACTGCAACACTCTCTACGTCGGGTTGCCTATGAAGACTGCCCGGAAGCTCCAACTAGTCCAACATGTGGCAGCCAGAATGCTAACACGAGCAGGGTACAGGGAGCATACTACTCCTCTGTTGCGCCAGCTCCACTGGCTGCCAATTAGCTTCCGAGCACAATTCAAAGTGCTGGTGTTAACCTATAAAGCCCTAAACGACTCCAGCCCAGTTTACCTGTCCAAATGTATTCTCCCCTATGAACCATCTAGGTTGTTAAGATCGTCTAGAGGGGCCCTGCTCTCGGTCCCACCGCTCTCTCGGGCGCGTTTGGTGGGGACGAGGGACAGGGCCTTCTCGGTGGTGGCCCCTCGACTCTGGATATCTCTCCCACTGGAGATCAGAACTGCCCCCTCCATTCTGTCGTTCAGGAAACAGGTGAAAACCTGGCTATGGGGTTTGGCTTTCGACGAGTGAATCAATATTTCTGTGATCGGATAGATGACGATGAATGATGGACAACGAATTCACTATGACGACTGACCATTGTTATTATGTGATTGCATTTTGCTATTATAACGTTTTAATTGAATATGTTATATGATGTTTTTAATGATTGTTTTGTGATTTTATTGTTGGAAACCGGCCCGAGTCCCCTGATAGAGGAGAGAAGACCAGTATACAAAATTGCTAAATAAAATAATAATTCTGTGTGCCAAATATGGTCCCAGGTACATTGTCAAAGGGGGTCACAGCGCAGGGTGAACTACGAATTCCATTATGTTGAATCAGTCCCCCAGTCACCTCCAGTTGCTGATCAATTCCTCTCTGTGCATCTTAGGAAAAGGGTTAAGAGAGATGCAGAGGGTGGGATCATGCAAATTCCACACCAATAGAGAAGGAAACACTGGGATGCCTGTGGTAGAGCAAACACATAAAATTGAGAATGAAATTGTCCCTGTATGAAAGCTTTCACTTGGGTGGTGGGCGGGATGGTGTTTGTGGAGGATATTGGCAGGGCTCTTTGACATGTTCATGGCGCTCACTGTAAGCTGCAATGTCATTGGTGTCTCATGAGTGATGGGAGTTATTTAACCTCAGCAGAATGAAAGCCAAAACCAAGGTTACAACAACATCTGTTATAGAACTCCAGTATGCTGATGACAATGTCATCTGTGCGCATTCAGAAGATCTATAAGCCACTCTAAACACCTTCGCAGAAGCATACGAGAAGGTTGGCCTGTCATTAAACATCGAGAAAACCAAAGTGCTCTTCCAGCAGTCACCGGCCAATCCCTCTCCAATGCCAGAAATACAACTTAATGGTGTAGCATTAGAAAATGTTGACCATTTCCGCTCCCTTGGCAGCCACCTCTCCACAAAAGTCAACATTGACACTGAAATACAACACCGCCTGAGCTCTGCGAGTGCAGCATTTTCCCGAATGAAGCAGAGAGTGTTTGAGGACCGAGACATCCATAGGGATACCAAGGTGCTTGTCTACAAAGCTATTGTCCTCCCAACCCTGCTATATGCCTGCGAAACGTGGACTGTCTACAGACGTCACATGCAACTCCTGGAACAATTCCATCAGCGCTGCCTCCGGAAAATCCTGCAAATCTCTTGGGAAGACAAGCGGACAAACGTCAGGCGTGCTGGAAGAAGCAAAGACCACCAGCATTGAAGCGATGGTCCTCCGCCATCAACTCCGCTGGACCGTCCACATTGTCCGGATGCCCGACCACGTCTCCCAAAGCAGTTGCTCTACTCCGAACTCAAGAACGGAAAACGGAATGTTGGTGGACAGGAAAAGAGATTTAAAGATGGGCTCAAAGCCAACCTTAAAAACTCTGGCATAGACAGAACTGGGAAGCCCTGGCCCTTGAGCGCTCCAGCTGGAGGTCAGCTGTGACCAGCAGTGCTGTATTTAGTTATTTATTGATTTATGGCATTTATATGCCGCCCTTCTCACCACAAAGGGGAGTCAGAATTTGAAGAGGCATGAATTTGAAGGTGAAAGAGAGAAACGTGCCAATTGGAAGGCGAGTCAAGACAATCCCGACCGGGACCACCTTCCACCTGGAAAACGATGCCCTCACTGTGGGAGAAGATGCAGATCAAGAATAAGGGTCCACAGTAGCCTACGGACCCACCGTCACGACACTACACTTGGAGGACCATCATCCTCGGACTACGAGGGATCGCCTAAGTAAGTAAATAACGGAGTTATAGCTATTTGTGGAGGCAGGAACCTGCCTGGGTGAGTGGGCATACATATTTTCACTTTTATTCTATGTCTAGATAGATCTAGATCTCCGAAGATCACAATATACAACTGCATACAAAGGCCTGATCCAGCGCAAGGTGAATTTCAATGTTTCAACCACTAGACGGAGCAATGCAGCCAATTTAAGGATATTTGAAACAGCAAGTAGTTGCTTTTTTGTTGTTGCACAATATTATTTGCATTCCAGTGCTACCAGGATAACCCGACCAGCTTTATAAAGCTTGTCTTTGGGTGGGTATCTGCTCTTTGGTCTCAAGTCTGTATGAACCTGCCATGGCCAAGCAGAGGAAGCTGGCCAGCTGCTCTCTGTGATAATACTTACTAGGCATGTGCGATCCATGCTTCTAATCTAAATGGTTCTAAAGAACTTCCAAAACTAAAATTCTGGTGGTGAAAACAAGGGGGCGCTGGTGCTTTGCTTCTACAGTGTTGCTAAAATTCTGGTGGTGAAAATTTCAGAACTCTAACAACACTTTCAAAATTTCATTATTATTTCATTATTGGCCATTTTTATGGCAGAACCTATTGGGAACTGCCATTTATAATGAAATTTTGACAAAAAAACAAACACAAAGTTTGCAAGCTTGGTAGTTGATTAAATGTCCTTTGACCAGTATCTGGCCACTTGGAGTGCCTCTGGTGTTGCCACAAGAAGGTCCTCCATTGTGCATGTAGCAGGGCTCAGGTTGCATTGCAGCAGGTGGTCAGTGGTTTGCTCTTCTCCACACTCGCATGTCGTGGATTCCACTTTGTAGCCCCATTTCTTAAGGTTGGCTCTGCATCTCGTGGTGCCAGAGCGCAGTCTGTTCAGCGCCTTCCAAGTCGCCCAGTTTTCTGTGTGCCCAGGGGGGAGTCTCTCATTTGGTATCAGCCATTGATTGAGGTTCTGGGTTTGAGCCTGCCACTTTTGGCCTCTCGCTTGCTGAGGTGTTCCAGCGAGTGTCTCTGTAGATCTTAGAAAACTAATTCTTTAAGTCGTTTACGTGCTGGCTGATACCCAAACAAGGGATGAGCTGGGGATGTCTCTGCCTTGGTTCTTTCACTATTGGCTGCTACTTCCTGGCGGATGTCAGGTGGTGTAATACCAGCTAAACAGTGTAATTTCTCCAGTGGTGTAGAGTGCAGACACCCCGTAATAATGCGGCATGTCTCATTAAGAGCCACATCCACTGTTTTAGTGTGGTGAGATGTGTTCCACACTGGGCATGCATACTCAGCAGCAGAGTAACAAAGCGCAAGGGCAGATGTCTTCACTGTGTCTGGTTGTGATCCCCAGGTTGTGCCAGTCAGCTTTCGTATGATATTGTTTCCAGCGCCCACTTTTTGCTTGATATTTAGGCAGTGCTTCTTGTAGGTCAGAGTGTGGTCCAAGGTAACTCCCAGGTATTTAGGTGCACTACAATGCTCCAGTGGGATTTCTTCCCAGGTGATCCTCAGAGCTCGGGATGATTGTCTGTTCTTAAGGTGAAAAGCACATGTCTGTGTTTTAGATGGGTAAGAGATCAGCTGGTTTTTCCTGTAATAGGAAGTAAGGGCACCTAGAGCTTCGGAGAGCTTCTGTTCTATCATCTCAAAGCTCCCTGCTTGAGTGGTGATGGCACGATCGTCAGCATAGATGAAACTCTCTGTCCCTTCTGGCAGTAGCTGGTTATTTGTGTAAACGTTGAGCATGGATGGAGCAAGCATGCTCCCCTGAGGATTCAAGAGATGAAACAAAGTCTTCTTTGAAAAATAACATCTTGTTTACTCATAAACAACTTGTATATATTCAGCATACTAGTCCATAATTCTATGTCTTTAAGTATAGCTGTGCTGGTACGGCTGTACCAGGAGCTCTAGCTTCTTTTTCTTTCTTTGAGTGTTTGCATGTATTCCAAAGTTCCATGCATTTCGCAATAATGTGGCTTCCCTTGGTTTGCAGCCACCTGCCTATCGTCGTTGGGTTTTTTAGTTCCGCCCCTTTCCCCAGGGTTCAGGAAGGAAAGGGAGCCATTTTGGCTCAGTCTTACAGTTGAAAGCTTAGCTACAGGACGTGAATCAGCTCCACTTGTAGAGAAGCTTCGTTTCTTACGAAATTCCAGGGGGAAACAGTTTCAAAGAACTCCAGCTTGAGAATCTACAAAGCCTTGACTGGTAGGTCTACTCGGGACCCAAGAAGTAGTTTGGTTCTGGGAGTAGGGCCCACACCAGCAAAGTTTAGAAAATAGTGGGTTGTTGTAGGTTTTTCCGGGCTATATGGCCATGGTCTAGAGGCATTTTCTCTTGATGTTTCGCCTGCATATATGGCAAGCATCCTCAGAGGTAGTGAGGTCTGTTGGAAGTAGGAAAATGGTTTTATATATCTGTGGAATGACCAGGGTGGGACAAAGGACTTTTGTCTGCTGGAGTTAGGTGTGAATGTTTCAACTGACCACCTTGATTAGCATTT